ACTTCTTTATCTTCTTCTTCATATACATAAAGTATATGCCTACAACTACTATATCTACTCTTTGTTTTCTCCACAACACGTTCAAAATAATCTTATCGCTTATCTCGTAGAGATGTGTCGCGTCAATTTGATAGTGCCCGCTTTGTATCAGTTCACCTCCCTCGATAGAGGTAAAAATCAATGACCTGCCCTATCAGAGAATCTACGCAATTCATAGAAGATATAAAAATATCAACTTCAATGATATGATTGGAATTCAATTTTATATTCTCTGTCTGAAATCTAACGACAATTGGCGACACGATAGATACAATCGCCGTGACCTCGGCTTGTAAACAAACATCAAATTAACGTTTTAGCGACTCGTGAATCACCGTCATCGCGATCGCTGCGAAATTCCGAATTGTAGTGTCGGAATAAAATGTAATATAAATTGAAGTTAGTCGGTTGGCGATCGGGCGCCGCGTCACACGTCTGCACAAACACTCGCGCGCTGTGTACCTCGTGATCACGTAATTATCTCACGACAAATATTATTTCCTTCGAGTGCGCCAATCCGAGAGTTAATATAATCCCAAACGCTATTGTGTACCGTGACATATTGTGTTGTGGTTTGTGTGTGAAAGTGTTGCAACTTTCTATAATAAACTAGTGCGAAACTTGTTCAGTTATATGAATTAAGTATCTATTGATATTTATAAGCGAGACTCGATTCATTTGGAGCATTCAATATATAATGTAAGTAGACGTTCATACTGATGCAGATGAAAGTGTATCATATCACATAGGTTGCAACTCTTATTGAAGTTAATACGTACCTATAATAGTGATTAAATATTAAAGCAAATCGGCAAACATAAAAAATATCCAGGAACACAAATCCATATCAACTAGTAACTAAATAAGATACTCAACGTTCAGTGTTAAAAAAGAAGTATTAGTTATTAAAAAAGGAATTTACATCAAATTTGGAATAATTATTATAACTTTAAATAGTAGTAAATAAGCGGCAAACTATTTACTTATTTTAAACTTAAACAAACGCTAGCCTTGACGAGCAAGTTAGGTTACTACAATAAAAGCTTCCATTTCCAAGGTAACTAATTAGGTTCCACAAATAACTTGTGAAAAGAAAATATACTTTAAAAAGATCCTTTTCATACTATAGTTCCATGTTTAAGCCATTGTCATAATTTGTTGACTAATGACAATTCATTACTGTATCCAACAATAAAGTCCTGTTTTTATACAAAGTAGTGCCACGAGTAATCCATTTTATAGCACATGTTGCGAGTCACTACACAGACCGACAGATGGACAAAGCACAGATAAGATTTCACCCGAACAAAGCTACAACATCTGTGTACCGTCTGTGTATTAATTGGTACTCAACAATCGAGATACGTGGAGATATATCTGGCAGGGTGTCAACAGATGCACTGTTTACTACGTGTGACGTCTTACATCCTACGGATTCAATAAATTTTAATAATTACGCACATGTGTTATCTGCTAGCTCAAAAATAACGGCCGAAAGGACTATTCGCGAATGTTGTTTTTCATTGTTCAGTCTGAAACAACGCTATGTTACCGTATTGTTAGAGCGCAAAAAACTGATTTACAAAAAGAAATTGTTCAAACCATTGTTTCTTACTACTGTTATTTGTAAACGTGACCCACCTCGTGTTTGTAGCAAATTTCATAATTGATGTAATACTTTAGTTGTCCTAGAAAGTAATATGACATGTTTCTTGTTTCCAGAGTTCACTACGAGATGGGGGCGAGGTCCCGGGAGTTGATTCTGCTCCTGGCAGTGTGTGCGCTAGCACTCAGCGAGTCCGTCAGCAAGGTCGCAGACGGCAAGAAAAAAGAAGACGCCGACAATTTCCTGTTCCAGTACGACGACCTCGACACGGCTGATGACCAGGAAGTCCTCTACAATGAGAACAGACCGTGCCCAAGGGACTGCATCTGCACTGTATCTCAAGGATACAGAACAGCCAAGTGCGATCGTCTTGAAATCGGTACACAAAAGTTCGGTGATGACATCACTGACCTTGTCATCGAAAATGCAGACCCGCGGTTTCCTATTCAGCTGACAGACTTCATCTTCAAGAAACTCGGTCTCCACCAGATTACAACAGTAAAAATCGTCAACAGCTCGATCGATTTTGTTGGACCTAATGCATTCCACGGCCTTCCGAATCTGTACGCAGTCAATCTGTCTAACGATAAACTAAAGGTTTTACACCCAGAAACTTTTGCACACAACAAAAAGTTAGTACTGCTGACACTCGCGAACAATCCTCTAAAATTCCCGGCTGCGGATTCCCAAGATTACTTCTTAAATACGTCATCGATTCAAGAGCTTGACATTTCATATTGTAACATGAAATACATCGCAGCCAACACGTTCATGAACATGCCTGGTGTGATGTACCTGAACCTCGCAGGTAACAACTTGTCGAACATGGACCCTAACACTTTCAAGAAGCTCCTGGATTTAGAAGAGCTCGACCTCAGCGACAACAACATCAAATCGCTGCCAGACGACATCTTCTCAGAAAACAACGAACTCGCTACCCTCCACATCTCAAGGAACCCTGTAGATACCGTGTACGGACTACAGATCTCAGACTTGCTCACTTTGAACGCCGGGCAGACCAACATTAGATTCGTAGGGCCCTCTATGTTCAATGGTATGACTTACATTGCCAATCTCAACCTTAGCGGTAACAGCATTGAGAAGATCCACAACCAAGCATTCCACAAACTCGTAGAACTTAACTACCTCGACCTTTCTTACAACAACCTGGACTTTGTCTCCAACATTCTCATCAAGGAAAATATTGAATTAGATATCTTCAAAATTTCAAACAATCCCAAGTTGAAACATTTGCCCGCTGAAGGATTCGAGTGCTCCGTTGATCAATTTAATATCTATCTGTTCGATGCTTCACATTGTGGCCTCCAAGAGATTTACGATAACTCCTTAAGGACATTCTCAGCTTTGTCTGTGGTAAATCTGGCTAATAACGAAATTAAATCTATCGGAACTAAAGTTTTCACAATGTGCCCCAAACTCGTTGAAATCAACCTTTCGTACAATCAACTGACAACATTGGACCCGAAGGTATTCGAGAAAAATAACGAACTAGGCAAACTTTACCTCCAAGGAAACCCATTGAAAGTACTTAACGCCGAAGTGTTTGTTCATACGCCAATGATTACCTATCTGGACATGAGCCACGCTGAGCTGACCTCATTATGGAAAGCAGACAAGAACCGCTCACCTACACTTCTGAGCAATTTAACATTCCTTAATGTTTCACACAACCGTATTACTGAGATTAAACAGACCGAGCTTGATCACTTGAACAAACTGAACGCTCTCGATATCAGTAACAACCCACTTGCTTGCAGCCATGACTTTGAGAACCTTATGACTTGGTTGAGCAACCGTAAAGTGTCACCTAACGCGAGCGGAAGCGCTAGCATCGCTAACTTAGCAAAGGATGCTAAAGACGAGGACGTCGGTACTTACAGCTGGGAGTTCCTCACTCGCAAGACTTGTGGCTCCGCTGCCGTTGTGCACCCAGTTGAACCTCTGCCCGCTGTTTCTGATGAAGAGATCTGGGAGAGGATCGATACGGATAAGGAGGGCAATTTCGATTTGAAAAACACATTAGACGACAGTAAGACTCCAAAGGACATGTTCTTAGACGACATGATTGATGATGAGGCTAAGGATGATGAAGAAGACGACGACTCTGTGGATGACGATGATGAAGACGAGGACGAGGACGATGCAGGTGGTGAGGACTACGACGGTGAGGAAGATGACGTTGAACTTAAAGTGAAACTGCTTGATAAGACATCTCCTAAGCCTGCCGTCTCAAGCCCAGTGCCGACGTCCAGCACTGCCGCCCCTGTTACCGATGACGTTCAAATTAATATTCAATTACTTGAAAATGAAACTAGTGAGGAAGACGCTTCAAACACTCTGTACTTGCAAGCGTCCATTAAAGAGGACGAAGAGCACAGCCATTACGCGTACTTGTGGCCCATTTCAATCGCCATCCTGGGTGCGCTACTGTTGCTCATCGTCATCGCCAAGGTCGTAATGATGGTATGCACCAAGAAAGCCAAGCCAATTAGATATAACAGTGCCCTAATCGCAGCTATGAACCAGGCTGGGCGCACGAAGAAAGACTGCGGGCTGGTGTACCAGCAGCTGACGGAGGACCTGGTGGGCCCGACCACGCCCAAGCTGAGCCGCTACACGCCGCTGCACAGCGTCACGGTGAACGCGTCCAACATGTCGTATGAGAGCAGTCCATTCCACCACAGCAACATCGTGCCAGAGGCCGTCTGAGGCACACTGAACAAAAACGTACATGTCAGAGTTAAAACTCTTTAAGTACTAACAACTGCGTTAACTCTTACATAAGCAGTAAGTGATAGTTGCAAGCGCTAGTCACAGCCGAATACATATCTAACAAACATTTCTTAGTACAGTACTACAGTGCCTTTACGATCACTCTCGAACAATCGCGACAATGTTTTCAATCTAGCGCTTTCTGAATATTAAAGTAACAAATGAAGTCAAATTACAAATTAATTAATTTAAGATTATACATATTATATATTATACAAATTAGTTGATAGGTTTATTTTATGTACTTAAAATTATTAAAAATTAAACACTAATTGTTGTTTTTGTCGAACCTTCACGTGTTCAAACTGTTTACCTATATTGGCGATAAAAAATTTAAAGAATAAAATTTAATAATATTCTGGTATAGTTTATTACTTTTTATACAATAAAACAGAACAATGTATACTTATTAAATAAAAGGTATCTATAAAAACGAATGTTTATAACAAGAGACCATTACGCAGTCAGTTTCACTTAAAAATATCCAGCACCAAGTAGTTGTACCTAGAATCTTATTTACATTACATAACATCTACTAAACATTGTGGTCGGAGACTAGAGTTCAGTAAATAGTGAGCGAGTCTTCCAATAACTTGGACAAATCCTCTTCCGTCTGCTGTAGCGGCGTCATACTCAACAAACGTTTCTGGAACAACATTTAACTTTACTACTCTGTGGTCAATAAAGTAAATAAACGACATTACTTCACAATAAGGCAGTAGGTATTTTATTTTAATGTCCACCTGGTAGATTATTTCAAAACATTAGACATGTATTTTTTCTTTTCTAACAAAATTATAAATACTTTCGATGATTTATATAGGTTTGAAATATCGTGTGACGTCACGATTTACTACTTACATTTTATAGGGTTTTTTTAAGGGGGGATAATCATCGAATGGCTGCTCCCGCCTGGGTGAGGCGGGAGGGAGTGTCAGACTCTTACTGACTAAAAACCACCCCGTTCCTTCTCCTGCACGTCAAACCGGAGCCCCGGTTACCCGTTAGGTTCTCCGCGACACATTTTATAGGGTAGCGAGACCTAACGAACTCCCATTCCTAAACTTGACACCGTTTTATCTAAGTATTGTTTTTTTATACGACAAAATAAAAAAAAATCTGTGTGTCTAATATTTTGTCATTATCTAACTGACGGACTAATTACATTTTTAATTTTCATACAATGTCTACTATCCTATTTGACAATCATTGATGTAATAACAACAGAAGATCTTTGTTAACTTAATAATATCTTCAAACTGGCCTAAATAAATAATCAAGTGTGACGAAAATTAGACCTATACCAAATTAACTAGTAGGTCAATTACGTATTATTATCAAACGTAAAGCATTCTACGACTAGTTAATAGCATTGATAATACTTAATTGGAAAGGCCAAACTCATATCGTGACGTCATACTATGTAAGTATACAGAAATACACATTTAAATGAAGGTAATCCTCCACAATCCTCAAATTCCCAATTCCCAAGAGGCCGGTAACGCACTTGTAACGCCTTGGTATTTCGGGTGTCCATGGGCGGCGCCGATTGCTTACCATCAGGTGATCCGTCTGCTCGTTTACGCCTTATGCAATAAAAAAAACCTTACAACTCTCATGTTATGAATCTTATACTGGACCTATTTTTAAAAAATCTTTTTGCGTTGGATAGTGCATTTATGAAGAAAGATTATTGGCTGTAAAACATCACTAGATGACAAATAGGAGCCGAGCAGACCGGGGAAAACACGCGAAAGTAGCTAGTCCTATATAACAAGGGCGGAATAACGAAATCAATTGCAACAGCATTAAAAACTAGAAATAAAAAAGCAAAAAAAAAGAACAAAATACCTGTGGTAACGCCCCTTTGACTAACTCAGGAATATCCTCTCTAGTATACCCAAGTGAGCTAAGTCCGTTCTCAATCTTCATAGTGTCCATGTACTTAAGAATCGTGTCGGCAGGACCTTGCCGGCGTCAGCCTCCTTCGCGTTCGAGACATCAGCTCCAAGGATACTTGCAGCTTCTAAATGCTTGGCCGGGTCGCTGGGACCCGTGAAGCGGAACACTGCAGGTGCTGTCATCACCACTGATAGACCGTGCGGGATTATTGGATCTGCACTAAAGTGGGTATTTATTATAATTTTGTACTTATGAACTATACTAGCAGTACCGTCTATACCATAAAGGCACTCGGAGCCCTTGCCCAGGGCCCCGAAGGACCGATAATTTCTACGGCGGACACACACCCGCTTCCCGGGTTCGATTCCCGCACGGAGAAAATCTTTGTGTGATCCACAAATTGTTGTTCCGGGTCTGGGTGTCATGTGAATGTGAACTTGTATGTTTGTAAACGCACCCAGGATACAGGATGAAATCCTAAAGTGGTGCAACGTTAAAAGAAAAGAAACATTCGATTTATTGTATGCCCAAGGGGGGCGTAGTCTATGACGGCCCTGCATATGAGGATATTAAAGTTGATAGCATACATTGTTTTAGTTAGTCTAACTACAATAATGTACAATATGTACATATTTACACTATGCTTCTAAGTAGCAGTAGCATTTTAAGTATGTACTTATTTATATATAAGTTTTCAGATAAAATTATTTGTGTACTGCAAATAATATAACAAAAATTATTTGCAGCAAACGTTGTAAACAAATAATTTTATCTGAAAACTTATCAACAGGGACCCAGATGGTAGTGATAATACAAAATACTTTTTTTCAGTACAGTTGGCATGTACATACAAGTCATTTCGTTATCGATACTTGAGATAGTTCATTTGAGAAAACAGGTCAACTATTGTACTGACCGAGCTCACAATTGAAGTCAATGGAAAACAGATGTTTTCCATTGACATGTTTTCTATTGAGTATTAGATAATACAATAGCTAGGTTTTTCGGAATGAATACGTATGTAACTCTGTATCTAGGTAGTCTTATTGAGATAGTCGTAAAATAAATTGGCATCAAAAGATACACACTATTCAATGTAGGCGCAGTCCAGTTTTATAATGATGGTTTCTTATTTTTATTCAGTAACGTAGCAGTTTACAACTGAAACCTTTTTAAGAAAGAGATAAATGACTAACTTAAAAGATTTTAATTACTGGGTTTTTAAAAATTCTCAGTAGTAGCACGGAGTCTGGAATTGTGCCCGGTATATGGCAATAGGCTCACACCCTATTACATGGGACTCATAACATAAATAGTGAAAAGTGGGTGTTACATTGTAAAGTGGCACAATGTGCACCTCTGCCTACCTCTTCGGGGATAAAAGGCGTGATGTTATGTTATGTAAAAGACTTTACTTAATGGAAAGCATAATGTTAAGCAACACAAACATTTTTTATTATGAATCGTCAAAAGGACAAACCTACCCATAATCGTTGGGTATGAAAGATTTAACGTTCCCTGCAATGGGATACGCGAGTCCATGGCACAAGTGTACCCCAGCGTTGCCGATGCCCACGCCAGCCATCGTAGCCGCAAGATGCATGCACGACCGTGCCTCCAAGTCATCAGCGTTGTACACCGAGCGGGTAAAGTATTTTTGAAGGGTCTGAGAATAAAGAACAGAATTGACCATACTATGAACAAGCTAGAGCGATCACTTCGAGATTATATATATATTGAGATAGTTTATACACGTATAAATCATTTGGGAACCATTGATCATAGCAAGTATGGCAATGGCCAAGCCAAGTCAAAGTTTAATATGGAAAAAGTACCTAATTCAGCCATCATACAGGGTGTAAAAGGAACTCTCGCAAAACGCGGACAAAAAGTTTTTATAATTTTAATACTTAGCTTTTGTTTCGTGTTATTCATACGATATCAGTCTTAGGCAGTTGATTGCAATATCTATTAATACCCAAAAACATTTAATTCCTTACTTTTCTATGAAAATAAAACTTAATTATATTTTACCATCACCTGTCGGCTTTTTCTGGAGCGTTCTATTTACACCCTTTTAGATTTTTTTTATTTAGGTATTGTGAGTCTTTTTAATTTCCCTCCAACTATAAGCCTTTAGCAAAGTCAAACGCAATGAATATGCAGATCTTGTGCTCATAAAATTTACTACCTACACACCAATGCCATAGTCGCATGTCCCAGAATTTTTAAGGTAGGTACGGTACGGTACGGTCATCTATTGAAATAAGCATATGGCATTGAATAAAGCAATAAATAATAATTAAATGTGCTGCAATTAATAATAATTTACATTGTTCATTGGTAATATTTACAAATCTTTAAATAGCCATTAGAGTATTACGTAAAGAATCGGTTCTTCCATGGAAACCGGTTTCAGTAATTAGACAGGCCACCAAAATAATCGAGTGAATCAGTTTTCGTCAATGATACAACATATTGTTTGATTGTTGACCTATGTATCTGTTTGTGTATGAGACTAGACTTCTTTATGTATGCATGATTTAGTCCCAGGAAGGAAAATATCGAACAAAGGTACTTAGTTCCAATTTTTTAGTAGGTAGGTACTTTAGCAACCAACAGTAACAAATTGAAAAACAATGCATATTTCTTTCATGAATCAATGAATGAATTAAAATTAATAGTGGTTTCTATTACAATAATGAATGAACCAATAGGTTTACCATTTACTAGAATGGGGAAAATCATTATCATACCGACCTTCATGGTGACCAATACAAAGTTGATTCATTAATTCCAGGACCAACAAGTTTGAGTACCTATAATTTTCTTTTTTACAAAAAGATGGCATTAACCAATTACCAAATAAAATTTTCCTTCATTTTGTAGTTAGATAATTGAATACCTACATATAGTATATTCATTATGTTATGATTAAGTTAGCATCTAACTAGTTTCTGTGGTAACAAAATTAAGTTGCATCGACGTTGTGCATCACGTCCTAATTAGATTACTTATTAAGTAGTCCATTAAGGTTAAAAGCCATGTAGGTACCTAATTTATATGCATGCCTGTACTTCACCCAGTACTTTATAGGTACTTCTTATAGCTTTTTAAGGGTGGAAACCAATGGATTCTCCCACCTGACTGTGGCGAAAGGGAGTGTCTGACTCTTAGTAAAAACTCGTTCCTACTCCTGCACTTCGAGCAGGAGTTCCGACGACCCGTTAAGTCCTCCGCGGCTCCGTATCGGCATCAGCCCTACTAGGCCCTATCCGTGGTGGTCTGATGGCTCTTTGGGCGTGGTAAAAGGGAGGATCCTCTGGCCAGGCCAGCTTGGCGAGCTAAGTAATTGTACTATGTAGGTACGTAAGTAGATGCTTAACACCTTATACGGCATGGGAACAACATATAGGCCACGATAGCGGAGTATTTGCCCGCAACAGTTTCCTGTTGGGAGTCAAAGGCTTCCTATAAGAAGTGCACTTACCTGTAAGCAAAATCTCGCCCATACATCGGATATTGGGTTGCTGCCCTGGTACGTTGGTCTTAGCGCCGGGTTGGGTGGCGCTGGCGTCCTCTCATTGTACGGAATTGCTGTGAAACTCTCCAGCGCGTGGCAGAATATGTCGAAGCCTGAGTAGTTGGATACCTAAGAAATATAGTGATATGAGCAATAAGCAGTGGGTGTGACTTCTAGTAGCTATCCCCACCATGGTATTAATTGTTTGAAACTATGAAATCTGTATTTTTACACAGAATTAAGAAATCAAAAAATCCCAACAATATTGTGAAGATAATAAGATTCAACTCTCAAGTAGACAGACGTTGTGATTAGTTTATCAATGGCTGTGTAGAACTAGATAGACAGCCATCATTTAATTTTCATTTTGTTGTTATATTTTTTAATAAATAGGTAGGTAGATGGCAATAATTTCTAAAATATTTTACCTTCTCCGGCATGGTAAGGGTGTGGAGCGGATCGATCATGGCAAGCACAGGTCGCAGAGCGCCGTGTGATATACCAGTCTTGGCGTGTATAGACTCGTAGTCGAAGATACTGACGCCAGTAGTCTCACTGCCTGTACCACTCGTTGTTGGAACTAAGAACAATAAACATAGTGTTTATTACATTACAGAAATCTCCTTACATGGTATGGCAGGAGTATAATATTTTGTGAATAACTTTTAGTATCTCATTTTCAATTTTACCGCCAATAACAAATTCAAAGTATGACTACTAGATGGCGTTGTCACAAATAATTCTCAGGTCATAAAATTATCAAATGAATACTATACACAAAACCTTTAAAGGCAACGACGAACTTTATTTTTAGACTTAACACATTACTAAGTACTAATTTCATATTGGATTACTTTATCTTTTTTTATGTTATAAGCCAGTAGACGAGCAGATGGATCACCTGATGATAAGCAATCGGCGTCGCCCATGGACACCTGGAGCACTAGAGGTGTTACAAGTGCATTACCAGCCTTTAGGGATTAGGAATTCGAGGATTGTTGAGATTTAGAGATTGGTGAAGGGGGAGTGGCGTAATAGGGCCTCTATAGTATCTATAGGGGTATCTATAGTATACAAGTTCTATATTATGTATTTCAGATACTTACTAGCAATCATAGGCTTCAAATGAACATTGATAGGTTTCCCTTTGCCCACTGGAGCATTTACATAGTCCAGGAAATCAGCATCAGGATCGGAAGAATATAGATTGGCTGCTTTACATGTGTCCATCACAGAACCACCTCCAACCGCCACAAAACTATCGAAGCTGTTCCCCTTAGCAAATGCTATTGCATCTTTGAAACTGTGAAGAAAACATTATGTAAGTCCCTTATACCTGCCTACTACTACAATTAACTGGTGTATGAACCAGTGTAAGGGTTTTACTTTTATTTCAGGTTTTTTTAATCAATGTATATGGATTACATTTTAGTTTAGTGCGCAAACCACATTACCACATCACATACACAATGTATTATCAACAGTGGTAGCCAAAATGCACCTTCTCTATTTCTGCTCTATTTATTAACATTGAATAGTGAATAAAATAGTAATTATTATGGGACCTTATAACTTTTAAGTTACACATTCAAACTAACCTCGTGTCTGTAGGCTCTACTCGGACCTTGTCATACACTTTATAATTGACTCCGTTTCTTGTAAGTGAGTCAAGAGTAGCCTTCACAGGATCCAATTTGACAACATTAGGGTCTGTCATTACACAGACGTTTTTTGCATTCATGTTCACCAGGTCCTGGCCTACCTCCCGAGTCACTCCCAATCCATATCTTACAGTCGAGCATTTTATCTGAAAGTTTATTATAGTATTTGGTTTCTAACCAAGTTACAGAATAGGTATACCTATACTTACACAAATTGACGTAATGGAAAAACTCAGTTTCGTTAAAGGGCAAAGTTCATACGAAGTTGTCAATAAATCATTTGAGAAGATAAGAAAAGATTAAAGTAGCATCAAATATTTACCCACAGCTATTTGATAACAACTTTTTAGAACAAAATAAAGGAAAAGCTACAAATTAAAAGTAAACTTACTTCAAAAGCATAGTCTTTTTGTGGAGTAGCATTCGACACTTGAATATTGCCGCGATTTCCATGAGCTGGACATTGACATCTACAAGAAAAAATAATAACCGTAAATAATAAGGTCACCAATCCAATCAACCTTCATGCTCATAAACACAAATGTAACTTTTTTATTCATGCACTTACGACGCAACGTTGATTGTTCGAAGTAAATCAAACACTCTTTTACGATTACCCATTCTGTACAACGCAGCGTATCTACTTTACAACTGGATCAAATAGCACTAAATACAGTTGTACAAAAATTTATCTTATACCTTATCACATGAAAACAAACGTGTTTTCGTTCAACTGACAAGATTATCTATTTATATTTTTAAGCGAATCTTGATTGTCAACTTTGTAACCACCTTATAACATTCTGTTGATGTTTTCATTTTGACTATTTTAGGGCTATCATTTGTTTTGACCTTATACTTGCGTAACTTGAGATTATTTGATTTTTAATAATATTATTGTAAAAATAAATACGAGCTAATGAGATTATATTTCCCGCGAAAACGTAGTTGTTTACGTCAAATCAAGTCAGAATTCAATGTCAATAATATGCTATCACTGTCAACTGTCATTCATTCAATAACATTCGTTCAGAAATTGTAAACAGGCGTTTTGTTCGATCAACTCTCATCAATAATATTATTATAGTTTCAAATCAATCAGGATTGGTATTATCACAGACGTTGAAGAAAAGGCGGACATGTAGTCACTTAGAAATGATTGGAGCATCAAAATATCACCAGATTATTTATGTAACATAACAGCTCGCCTTTTACCTCTGAAGGAGTAGGCAGAGGTGCACTTTTGTGCACTAATTGCCACTGTACAATGAAACACCCACTTTTCACTATATTATGGTATAAATAAGTCCCATGTAATACGGGTTGAGCCTATTGCCATATACCGGGTACGATTCCAGACACCGTGCTGCTACTGGGATTTTTTTTTAAACCCATTAATATTTTGCCCAACCCGGGAATCGAACCCGAGACCCCTTGCCCGGCAGTCGCACTTGCAACCACTTGGCCGTTTCGTGAGTGTAAAAGTGGATCCACGCGAGACACAATGTATTTTCTATTGTCTCATATCGGTGCATTGAAGCGGTTAAATATAAATACCAACACCTTACATGCTTGTGCTTGTACAACTTCATATTTTAATGTAAATCGATTTTGATAATAAACAGTCCCAATAAAGTATGGCAAATCGGTATCCCACTTTGGGTATCACCATACTCGAAACTGGAAACAAAAAAATAACTTGCATGCAATTTAACCTTTTTACCTATAACTCAAGAGGGTATAAATAAATGAAAATCAAATTAGACATCGAAGTGATGTATTAATAAATTCATACAGATTTCGTTCACATAATACACAATAGAAAAAACTATCTCAACTACAACTCCATAAAGAATAAAACATCTTACACGCTATTAGCATCATTTGGTTACATAACTTTCAATAAGTAACATACTGACAGGCTAAAATGGCATTAAAATATCTCATCACAATTAGATTTCACAATATATTATTAAATAAATACAATTTATAATATGTATGATGAAAGAACATAAAACAGGTTTCAGCATTTTACTTAAAAATAATATCTCGAAATAATTATATAACTTATATTTTTTACATTTACGAACTAATAGGTAAAATATCTATTTACACGACTGCAGTGTTGCTATACTACATGCGAAATTATTTCATGGCAACGATAATAATCATCACATTTTTGCAATATTTCTTCATAAGAAAAAATCTTGGTACATACAATGTGGAACTGTGCACGCAAATATGAATGATCATAAAATGATATACATTTCTAAAATTATTGCTATTTTATGGGTAATCAAATGAACGAGTAGTCTACTCACTTTCAGTTAATACTAATGTATGGCAACGCGCGCGGTATGTAGGTAACTATATCGAATAATAGGTATTAGCAGTGTCACTATTACTACCTATGATTACAAGTGATCATTTGAGAACTTAATATACAGAAAATCTACAATTATAAATATGGGAATGTGTAGTTGTGAATACACGGTATCAGCTCAAACACAACATAAGAGGAAATTATGATAATAATAATTATTAAATTACATTTCCTTACATTATTCTTTCGTCGTCTTACAAACGCGAATATCTATTGCTATTATTACAATACTTCGTCTATTAAAATGTGGAAATTGTTAAAATTTAACATGTAACAACAATTTTCAGTGTTCATCGTCACTTGGGAGACCATAGGCGCACATTATCCACGTAGAGCAACTATAAAGAATTTCTTTGGTCCATATTGAATAACTGGTAGCAGATGAATAAGCTTAAAATACCGAATGAGTCGTTTGATTATCAAACGTATATACAAGTATAGTATAAATAAATTTTCCGGCCTATAGTCTCGCAGTAAGAACACGATCTATAGACAGCATGCACCAACAATCTAAGACACCTCAATATCATCTACTAGAACAAACTATACAACAAACAGTCACTGGTCCGAAGGTTTGTCGGTGAAATATACCTATCTCTTTCACTACTCATCACAATTACTTATTTGGCAAAACTAACTGAGCTGTAAACACTATTGCTTCGTTACGCGAGGCGAAATGCTGGAGTTACGAAACTAACATGTTACATACACCCTACAATCAAGAGCTAAGTCGTTTTGTACACTATGATTGTAAAGCTACTTGGGCTCGATATTGTCAAGATTAACAAATATATGACGTAACATTGAAAAAACTTTACGATTTTCCTTTAAAGACAATAATAAATCTGCTTTAACTAATACTAAGTGACACCAATTCTAATACGCGATCGATAATGTTATAAGCTAGAATATCACATTAAGATGAAACTAAGCGACTCCATGATGCAGAGAAATTAATTTAATAATTCCATATTGCTCACGCGCAGTCCTTTGATATTTATATTGTGATCTAGAAACTAACTTTGTACACTAAAATTCTACATGAACAGGTAGAATTATTCAATGTACAACATCAATTTTTTTTAAATTTTATTAAGAAAGTTTTCAGAATTCATCGTTACAAAATAGTGAGCAGTTATTCTTAGATTCTTTACAAACATGTCATCACTGATTTAAAAGATACAAAACTATAGACAATATGTCAATCTGCACTACAGATTTTTTTAAATAAAGAAGGGATCAATGGTAAGTAAAAAATCCGCGTCAGGACGGACGATCTGCTGGCAAACTTACAGTATTGGTGTTTTTAAATTCGTAGCGACGCCGACGCTAAAGCAATAACTACCACGTATCTATTATAAATTTTCCTTATGTGTAAACAACGTTTCAACCTATCATGAGTACTTAGTAATTGAGACAAAAAACTAGCGTAACATTTAATTGTGACAATATCCAACGACCACTGTCCAAATGTGGAATGGTTAAAATGTTGAGTATGAAAATCGTGTATATTAACAGTGAAATACATGTTTAACAGTAGTATACAGTACTGAACAACCTAGTGATGGTAATGTAGAACGGTGCTATAGTAAACAACTTCAACGTAACTATTTCATATCATTATGTGTGGTTATGCCGGCTGTAGAACTGTGTAAAATACTAGAATAAATAAGCTCGTAGCTATACAAACAAAATCAAGCCTTAGGCCAGATACCCAAAGTAAAGTATTCATAGTTGAAATTCGTAACACTTCCAGGATCGCTTCACGCTGGTGTTTTTTAGTAATTTTGAACACAATAATCCTTCAGTCAGACTCATCTATACAACCCAGCTCTATGACCAATTTTTGGTTTACATTTATTATTAAAAAGACGAATATACAATACAATAAGAATTTAATATGCCCGTTAATTATACGGAGCACAATAGACATGTGAATACAATCCCCATACTGACTGGAACATTTGAACTTGTCAGTTTATGGCGTTGGGTTCAGCTCTAAGCAGGAATACAATGTCAAGCTTGCATTGCTGCGACTGCTGACCTATAAACGTGGTTACTACCGATATTGATTTAACACAGGTTTTCTACGAACATTGGTATTGACCTACGTTCCATGGCTGCCAAATGTTGCATCTCTGTCATCCTTAGTCAGGTAGCATGTGCACGAAAGAGACGGGGAACATGCCCCGTCGGCTAGTGCCTTCGACCTGGCCCTCCATCCAGTTGTCATCCTCTGTGCGTTCGTTATTACAACTATGACTTCTCCCTCGCGGAATGACAACTCGTCTTCGTTGTCTGCTGAGCAATCATACAATGCGCGGCACCGCCTCAAACCACCCATCTGAAAAATGTGATAGTTTAATTTAAAGAACTTGACTTAGACATTAGGTTAATACGCTTTAAATTAACTCTGGAGTGACAAATCTTACTGGTTGCTCAACTCACCATTGTAATAGAAGCAGATGGCGATCGTGAATGTACACTGGAAGTATCAGAGACGTCGAGCGAGCGACTGTCGCTCCGCCGCGATCGTTCGCGCGACCGCGAACTGTCGCACGACAGAGCCGACTGCAAGCGACTGTCGTCCAAACACGAGTCATTCATATCACACAACTCCAACGACGAGTCTTGACTAGAACATTCCTGAAAAATAGACCGTATGTATTAGTACATAGAATATCATTTGAAAAAATACCAGCTAAGCTGTTTAAGGCCTAAATGTTTTAATAAAGAAGTAGTGCTCCAAGATTGCACGGTGCTCCGAAATAAAAGTTATACATTTTTTAAAGAAGACGATAAATTGGACTTTTCATTCGGGTAAAATAACAATTACTTCATTTTATTTTATCGCAATGTTATATTATTATTATACATGCAAAATAATTTGAAAGGTTAATTCACACTTTATGAGAAGGTCAACCAAATATTTATGTAAGTAAAGTTGTATTTGAGATTGAAAAATATTTGAAGAATAGGTGATGTTAAATTCGTCTCATTTTGATTAGCTCATAAGTAAACATCTACATATAGTTAGGCATCTATGTTTTCTATAGAAGTAGGATCTAAAAAAAACAAAGTGGCTTGTTTATTAAAATACAAGAAAGCCGAAAGCTGTTAGATAAACAACATGCAGTGAGGATAAAATTATATATCCATAAAGTACACATAAATTAGTGTCTAATGCATAGTTTATGGTGTAGGTAGATGTAGGGGCCAATTGTCAAGAGTATCGTATTGCCAAATGTATAGAGATTCCTCCATTAGCCAACAGGGAGGAATCCAAGCCACGCAAATAACATGAATCGGCTATTTCAAGCTGTTATGGATAAACCTTTGACATAAAAGCCAAAATAGCGTGCGAAATTTTGTGTTTAGCTCCGATATAACGTGGGTATTCATTGTTATTCGTGGTTTAGTAATTTCAGATTTTGCCGGCGTTCTCTTGACAATAAAATTATAATTAAAACAATATTATTAATGACAAAGGGCGTAAATCAAACAAGGGTAAGCGAGTAAGTACACTAAGTTCGTTTGTCTGACGTTCGTTACCCTTTTCAGTTTCGCTTTCACAGCCTTTTCCAGGTGCAATCTATTTTTCTTCTGTAGCAAAAACAAATATAACCCTGTACTAGTTTCAAAATTATGTTAGTAGCTATCATTAATTTCATTTGTTTTAGTAAGAATTTCACCTTCGCAATAATATTTGTTCATTAGTAGCTACCAATATATTTACATTGTTTTATATGCCCAAAGAATGTATACCAGTATATTTAATGATGTAATCCATATGCGCAAAAATATGATTTACAATTTAACCAATAACTCCTTGATTTTATCAATAATAAAGGATTAAGATAAGACTATTAGTCGATGATCCTTTCCATGAAGTTTGTAGGTAGTCAGAATTTATAAATTATTATGTTTTCGGCTTACTCACGTAATTATTTGACGAGAAACTCGAATAGTTCAAGCCATGCTAGAGGCTCATATCCATAATAATTTATTTAGTATGTCTCACGAAACAGCCAGAACTTATATTTGTAAAAAAATATAACCATATTGTATCATTGTATTACAAACATGAATGAAATTTTGACTACCTACAAAACCTCACATATTACAAATCAATGTTTCCCATTTCCAAAATACATGTAAAATAAATGATGGTATATTATTACAGTGGTACATATAGATATACCTTGCGCGGTGGCGGTGTAGGTTCGTCTCGATGGTGCGCGCCGTTGTGCAGCGCGGGCGGCGGCGTCGGCGGCGTCGGCGGGGGCTGCGCCGGACGGACCTTCACTACGCCGCCTGTAACTGGCGTAGGGGAATATTGTAAATAAGTAACTAGGTCTAATGAAACGTGGGCAAGTATCGTGTTTACAATGGAATTATGTACATACATTTGTACATTATGAACATCTATGTATGTATTTATTTCGGCTCCATTGAAGAACCCAAGACTATAAATCAATGAAATTCGAAAACCTACACGTTTAAAAATAAAAAAATGTATGATTGTAATAGAACGGAGACCACCGTTTTTTTGGCTCACCACATGGCGCAAATCTAGTAACAAGCATTTTGTCCAATCACTGCAGCTGTCAACAATTGAAGCACCAATGGCGTGACACTAGCTAATTCCCTATTGAACAAAAGGACAACGTTCACACTAGCTCCATCTACATAACATAACATCACGCCTTTTATCCCCGAAGCGGTAGGCTGAGTTGCACATTATGCCACTGTACAATGTAACACCCACTTTTCACTATTTATGTGTTATGAGTCCCATGTAATAGGGGGTAAGCCTAATGCCATATACCGGGCTCAATTTCGGGCTCCGTAATACTATTGAGAATTTTTTAAAACCCCAGTAATTCTTTGCCCGACTCGGGAATAGAACCCGAGATCCTTTGCCCGGCAGTCGTACTTGCGACCACTCGGCCAACGAGGCAGTCCATCTAATGATCAATAAAACAGATAGCCCCCATTTTGTACACGTAGACGTCTGTGTATTTATTTCACCTGCTTTGAAGTAGTGTGCAGGTACTGTTAAAAAGTAAAGAATGACCATAAACCATAAAGTATGTAAGACAGAGGTTGTTGTTCTTACTGAACAACAACCTCTGTCTACAACAAAAATTACACGTTTATTTCCATATAGTTTACACTTTCACACAAACTTTTATTGTATAATTTGTATGGAATTGGAACGGATATAAGATTAGGTAATCCAAGTAACCTTTTCTAAGGTAGTTGTTAGGAAGAGCTTGATTGAAACCTATAATGGATGGATAGATGGTTAAACTTGTTTTAATAAACAATTAATTGAAAACATTATGTTCTTAGTTAGATAATAAAATTACGCGAAGCTATAATCAGGTTTATTCCCGTAAATAAATCATTTTATCGTGAAATGTACTAAACCTGGAGATCAATAAGCATTCGGATAAGATAAGATATCAATGAAATCAATAAGTAGACATGCAAGTTCAAGATTACTTCTGATAAGTGTATTTTAGGACGAATGCACCTTATTTTTATTTTTTGTTTAATTCGTTCATTCAATTAATCAGGGTTTTATTTTTTTTTGTAGTGAGGGATCATTCAAGGATTATGTAACGCAATTTTGGAAGATTTTTGACTATTACAGTATGAACACTATGAACGCACTTTAATAACACCGACTACAGCAATGTGCTTCTGTTCTGCATAAACACTAAAGAATACTGACAACGAAAACAACATTAAAAATGACGTACAATACAATCTAGGGATTCCCCGTGAAACATGAACGAAAAGATTTGCCAACCTGCGAGAACAAATTAAAATTGACGATCAGACTAATACTAATACAATCGAGGGATTCCCCGTAAAATGTAAACAAATAGGGTTGCCAATTTGGTTTTGATTCCCTAATTTTTTAATTAAAGAAAGAAACAATGTTACGTAATACGTGTTAGAAAGGCCCCCTCCCGCCCCTGTAACGCATCGTAACGTTACACGAGATCCGCCCCAATCCAGTATTGTGACACTAGTTTACACAATACAGTGAAACTTGGTTAAGTGGGACCTGGATAAGTGAAAAACCTCCATAACTGGAACTCATGCTGAGGTCCCAACACTTTGGCACTGAATTACCTGTGTTAGTGGGACGAGGTAAACCTCTATATCTGGGATTTGTTCTATCGATTTATCATCATAGTTACCTCTATAACTGAGACAGCGAGTAAATTTTATATGCATAAACCATTGTAACTGAGATAACATTGTTTGTTTACTCATTCTTATTCTACCCACAAATTCCACACGTAATTCCAAGTCCACCTCTGTTAATGGAATCCTCTGTAAATGAGACAGATATATTTATTTATACCTGTATATCTGAGACACTGGGTAAGTGGAATACCTCTATAAGTGAAACGATATTGCAGGTCCCTTGATGTCTCACTTAACCAGGTTTCACTGTATTTGTAATTCACTATTGGACGTAAAAATGCACACACTAGAGCCATATCGTTGGCAAAAAAAGGTGACGTGACTATAGTTTAGTTTAATTACCGTGCAGAGACCGCGCGTTGTCCGCGGAGGGCGAGGGCGAGGCGCGCGGTGCCTGCGGAGGCGGTACCAGCGACACCCCCGGGGGCAGCGGGGCCGCGCGCTTCTTCAGGCTGCCCATGTTGTCTGAAGGGGAGACGTTTTATTATTACATCGCTTTTGTTTAATCGAACACTGATATTTTAAAAATTCACTGTAACTGTCGAAAAACAGACAGCAATAAGTTTGAACTTTCGATTACTTAATTGCAATATCGAATCTACCTGTCTAGCGAGGGGATTGTAGCAAATCATCACATAAAATGGAAGTCTTTATTCAACAGTGGGAGTTGTAAAGCTGATGATGATGATGAGATTACACTAACAATTTCCTAAACCTTAAAATAAAACGGCACACAGACAGTCGGGTGCTAGAGATACTTACAGACGTTAGGTTTCCTAGGTAGTGTGGTGGGTGTGGGCGGCGCATGATGCAGCGAGTCACACGTGGAGGACCGCGAGCGGAGGACGGGGGAGTCCCCCGCCGCCGGGCAGCGCTCCGCCGTGCTCAGGACCGCGCCGCCTGCGTATGATGGAGGACGAGATCGCGGACACTTCTTCTCCGGAGTTAAACTGCCATTTTGCTATAAATTAATATGAAAAATTATTTATATATTTATTTTTGTGCAATGTGTTCTCTACTATGAACTACAGCTACGTAATTGCTGCGAATAATATAGCATTGCTCATAAGCTCTCTATAACTTACCCTCTCATCAATAACAGTGTCGTCGTCAGAAAAGTCTGTTGAGCCATCATCATGTGATAAGTTCCAGTCTATGTTGATATTCTCAAATATGCTCTTCTCTCGTTTATCCACATTCTCCAGCTGGAAATAATAATTCCAACGATAAGACACAATGTATAAAATTTTAGGCGTAAAAGAAAGATAACATTGAATATTGCGAAAACCATACATACCAATTCTAAACATCCTAAGTGTCCATATTGCCTCGCTATCTGCAAGGCGGTCCTGCCGGTAGCGTCCTTGATAGTGGAGTCAGCCCCAGCCTTGAGCAATAACTTCATAGGTTCAGTTCTGTCGGTGGCAGCGCATAAATGTAACGCGGTCATACCCTGAGAGTTGGGCTTGTCCAACAGTTGCGAGCCACCGTTTTGGACTAGAAAATCGACTATATGTAAAGAAGATCCATCGCCAATCTCACGCGATATCGCCAAGTGGAGTGATGTTTCACCGAGATCCTGAAGATGGACAAATTTGATTATAAATCATTACTCGGATAAGATTTGCTACTAAATTTGGTTTAGTTTTACTTAAGTTACGCAAACTGCACGAAAATTAAGTTCAGATTCGTAACAAACATTAAGCTCATTTTTTGTATTTACCGAGCCAGGCAGTGGTGCAGCTAGGTCGGCTCCCTCAGCGTACGCCTGCAGTAAGTTCTGCAAGTGTCCGTTATTGACGGCGTGCTCCACCTCCGACAGTCGCTCGGCCGCGTCGCAACATGTCTGAGCCGCAAACGCTCGGTATACATACTTCTCGCGGATAAACCTTAGTCGCTCCTCCCTGGAAATAGTTTATCAAGAGAAAACTTTTAAAAATACTGGTCGTGCCTATAACATAACTAGGCGATAATGTTTCATAGATGTTAAAATTTCAAAGTCAAAGTCAAAGTCAAAGCATTTATTTCAATTAAACCATAGTTTGGTACTTTTGAAATGTCAACAAATACAAAATAAATAATAGTCTGTCAGTCAGTCCGTCAGTGAAACTAGGTGAAGCTAGGTGCTCATTCCAAAAAGTAGATTCGAATGGAGAAGAACGGGCAAGAAACTCCATTCGTCCAACTAAAGGTCTTAAAGAATCAGAAGATATCTTACATGGAACTTTCAGGTGTAAGTTTATCCCGTTCATCGAGTGTGTTCTCCATAATCTCATTGAACATCTGGTTCCCCATGTGCCTCGCAAGCAACAGTTGTGACGTGCTGAGTCTGTCCAGTGTCAGAGACTGGATGCGCGATATATGCACGCCCAACTCACGGTGACTGCCCGAACACTCTATGCACACTATTATACCGAAGTTTGTTGATAACCACGTCGGATCTAGAAAAATAAGAAATCAAAATATGAGAAGATACGAATTATCGGAAACTCTTTCCTAATTTATTTGTAAACCGTATTAAGTTTTCAAAGTGTATGGTGGACAATGTTTTATCAAAATAAATGTCAATGTCATATAAGAGGGAAATCCTCTTCCTATAAATGTCGATTTCAACTAAGTTATCACAATACAAATGTATGTTTAATCAAGGACGTCCCTAAAACAAGAATTAATTTAAAATATATTTAAAAACTGGAGTGAATGATCATTGTGATATTGACAAATAAGCGTTTTAATAAAATAACCTTCAACTTGAAATTTTAAGTTATCGTTAAGTTTTACAATAATTGCTCTGAAAGTCAACAAGGGTTGGTGTGAGATATCATGATAATGATTAATGAATAGTGAGTAAACGTTGGTTGAAATATTCTTAGTTTCAAATCAAACGTACCATTAGTAGAGCCACAATCCGCGCACACTTGGTTGCCGGGCATGGCCCTGACGGCCCGGATGATGGAGCGCTGCAGGTCCAGCAGCGAGTGTCCGGAGTCATTGGTCTCACCGGCCTGCTGGTGGAAGGCCCTCATTAGAGCTCCCTCCTTACAGTTTACCAGCACTGACGTCCACGCTCGCTGCTCATTCTCGTCGTCAGCTTGGAAATGGTACGTTCTGTTATCTGAAAAAAGACAGACAGACAGTTAGTAGAGCCATTGGGTAAAGCAAATGTTATTAGTTAATAATTGAGGATTTTATTTATAGCCGCCAGTTACGAGTTCGTAATTGGATCAGATGCTGTAATATATTATGAAATAAAAGTTATCTAACTCGTAAAAGTTATTCCCACACGGAATCGGGATCTCAACTTCTGTTAACTGCACAAGTTTCTAACTAGCTCGATCAAATAAGTTAATCTTGGAAGCACAACTACCAAGTATGAGCAATTATTTATACTCACATGAGACTAGATCAAACGCCCTTTTGTCTTCTGCTGCTACTTTAATTTGGCATGTGAGGAGGTTGACCCTCGCCGGAGTTTTGTTCTCGTCTGCGTGGAAGATATCCAGGAAACCTTCGCAGTGACTCGACACCGGCGTTTCTGCCAAACGCGGCGCACCTTGCCTTCAGACTTCTTGAGCAGGTAGCCACTCGGCTGACTCCGTGCTGCTTGTCACCTTGCATTTGATGCAAAGAGTAGCCACCGACAGATGACACCACCTGGAACACGGACATACTCACATTAGATAGAACAGACCACACAAAAGTTATTATACATTTCCAACAAACGAGTTGTCTGTAAGCAAACTTACAACTGCGCCGAGATTGTAAATATCTGGCAACTCATCGTGAATTTCAAAAGTCACACGAGTAGAAAATAACATTGACAGTAACAGTCATACCTCTCTGTCTTGTGGTGCAGCTGCTCGCAGCATGTTTCTGAGCTCTAATAACCTCCGTCGTTCGTCGTCTTGCTGCTGCCGAATCTTCTGCAGTTGTACACTCAAATCTGCGACGTACACACCAAAGTGCTCGATTGTTTTGAGGCCATCTTGGAAATAGTTCGTCTGCGCATGATAGTACTCCACTAAGTGTTGGAGTAGCTCGATCCCCTTCTTCGTTTTTATTTCGTTGAACTTTATCAGGTACTGTAACAACAGTGTTTGTTTAGTTTTCACATTCAGATGTCTCTTGAGCAGGGGCAGTCACAACAACGATCAAAAATGGAATGAAGCCAGTTTGTTGGGCAGACAGAACGACGCCGAAAACATCGCGTGGGCACGGGCATGCTTATTACTTCATCAGAGACCGTGTCTAATGGGACGCCAGACAGACACGAGCGGCACCCGGGACTGTGGAAACGCAGCGATATTACTACTACGTGCCCTTCCGCGAGTTAAAATTACACTTGATGACGCACGCGCACGCGCATTCGCGATATAGTGGATCCAGATTTGTCTTACGGAGTTGTGTAATAATAATAAAGCTCAGCCCGCGACCTTGCACAACTGTTGGCAATTTGCCTATTTAACTTAGCATTCAGTTTTGTTTAAGTTACAGCTTCATTATATTCCTAGAGGGAACTTGGCGGCTTGTAAAGTAAGTTGCTACGCTGGTCGCGGTTGTTGCATGCCGTATTGTGGTATTTATTATAGTGTTAAGAAAGGTAAATGCGTGGGATGTGGGCAACATGTTGTGGCCGAGGCGGTATTTGCACCGAGTGGAACAAAGCGAGGGTCAGCGCGTCGTCGTCGGCCCTGCGCGGCGCAAGGCCGGTCGTCGACCTGACGCGCGCCTCCTCTGTACCGCACCGACCCAACCACCACAGGGCTTCTAGGTTTCTTTTTTTAGCAACTGACAAAAGAAGTAACTTACCGTGGCTTCATGAAAGTTTAATCTAACTGCCTCCAAAGAGGCTATGGAACTTCTCCGTTCATTCAATCTAATATCTAAACATATTAGAAAGTAATTATAACTTTTCGACATTAATATTAAAACCTCATTATTGTTGTGAAACAAGTCATCAACTTTCGTATTTGTAGAACAGTCAAATATCTCAGCAAACCGTAGTACCTATCAAGTTTAAAACGGAACGGAAGTTCATACGGCAGAACATTAGTCCAATGTGATTACTTTGGAAGAACAACAAACAGAGACAAGTACCTACAGGGTAAAGAACGGGCAGTTAATTGGACAGCCTCGATAAATTAATTGAGACGAAATTTTGTTAAGATTAGATATCTTGCATAAACGTCTGTAGTACATAGAAGTTACATGATACAATCAATGAAGTTCATTGAACGTGCTGAAATTATAGTGGTTAGTTATTCTTACCCGCGACTTCGTCCGCAGGACAAAGGAAAAGTAACTGAGTGATCTGCATAATAAATGTGTGCATCAAGGCAATTTGGAAATTATAGCGCATTCTGAAAACAAGCGTAGTAGCTGCTCAGATTAGAAGTGAATAATATCATGTTTTAGAAAAGCTACAATTGTGCAAATATCTTTTGTTAGTGTTAGTAATAAAACAGTCTATGTTAAGAATCGCCCGGATATATTATGCGGTCGGGGACATACTTAACTGTACACACCAACTTTACAAATCATTCTTAAATTCTTAGTTTTTCCTCATAACGAATAGATAGCTAGCACAATAGCAAATACGTTTAGGTAATTGGCAATATGTTTCTACATAGTTGTATTTATGTTTGACCAATACACTGTACTACTAGAATAAAATATAATATTTTTAATATTCATTACATACATTTATTATCATCAGCAATTTGAGTACCTACCTAACTACTTATTTAACTGCTTGCCACTTCATACAAGGATATAGGGTTTATTGATCCAATATTTCCAATACATAATATTATGTACCTATAAATATAACAATTTATACAGGAAAATCGTTTTTATACACTTGGTGGAGTACCGAAACCACTCCAAAAAGGTTGGGTTGCGTTTCGCAGGTCATTACTCTTGCAGCGTCAAGACCAATGTTATCGGAATGAAAAAAAAGCGATGATACGGAAAATATAGCTTGCAAAACCGAGTATGGTGTTGATCAAAAATGAAAATATTTTGCTTTGAAAGTGTTCGTATTGGAATGGAAATTGAAGGTTGATTTTTTAGACAAACCAGTAAGTGGGATTTAAGAATGAATGGAGGATGAGCCAATTCAGATATTGATCATGAAACAGCTATCGTATTTTCAGCTTAGTCATTGTATAAAATTATCTTATTTATAGTATTTTACAATAGAGTACCATAATTTTGAAATGACTGCAATTGTTTCGAATGCCCTATTCAGTCTTTGCAATAATGAAGCTCGATTACCAGTCGTGATTTAGCAATCCGCCCGTGAACTTTGTCTGCTGCCATTTGGCAAGTTTGTCACAGCTAAAGATATTTACCGAGACATTTGGCATTGCATTCTGCACCGCAGATAGACGCATATGTTATGCAAGAGACGATTGGCACTCACTTACAGTTTATGACTTAAAAGGGACTAAATCCTGACTAAAGATGTATTTTACTAATTGTATAAAAGATTTATACGTTTTCAAAGAAGCTGCTAAAATGACCCTTGTGTATAGGAATGTATCACACTAATTGTTAACATAATTCTTTTATAAACTACGTTCAACAAAACAGACTTCAAACTCCTTGTTTGAAGCGGTTAATTAATAATGTACTAAAATCTTCTAAGTGTAACCTAACTTTTTCTGAAAAGCGCATCTAAATTGGTTCAGCCAATCGCGAGATAAATGCGCACAAACATACATACAGTTCAAACTGTTCAAATTGAGAACTGCTTTTTTAAAAATCGATTAATAAATAAAAAGTGAAGCGGTTAGGGACTTATAACATACGAACATCGATAGCGATTATTATTATTACTTAAATAGAAGCGTGGCGTTGCAATATTTGCTAATGACAGCATAATATTTTTATCTTATCACTACCAGCTATCATTCATGTATATGCAAACATTACGTTACCGCAAAATTTATTCGATATTCGTCGTATTACATTTATTGATTGTAGTATTCAGGTGCAAGGACTGTATAACTAACAACGTTGCAACTTCAAGATAACGATGCATAATTTCTTTGTTACCTTTAGATATTCAAATTCTATTCTGCATAAGTTTTAGAACTGTACTCTTTAATACAAAACTAATGATTAGCATCGGCACCTAACTCTCCAATGAATATATCGTACTGAACAATACAATCAGACATTTTGGCAACGTGCGTTTAATGTAACTGTTCGCCAGTGTCATTGCCAACGTACATACGACCTTTCGCAGCCACAGGTTATGTGCATAACGGCACTAGTGGAGTCCACAATGACTGCTATTGCTACAGCTATGGTATGGAGGCAGAACGTTACGTGGGTAAATGGCTGTCACGGACAAATATATTGTCACACACGCATTGTTAATTGCATTCTAGGGCAGAAGCCTTGCACATAATGTACGCTTCTGACAGTTACTTTTCGGTCATTACTCCTGACTGGCTGCACTTACACGAGAACAAAGGCTACGTCTTTATTTAAGGCACGCTTTGTTGAGCTTATCTTGCAAGTAAACCTCACAGTATCTTCCTTTTTAATAATGTATTACTTGAGCAGAACGACATTAATTTTGAATATGTCAGTGATTTCAAACAGGCAATACTACTTCGAGCTAATCCAATCAAAAGCCATCGATAATATTGGCAATTTGATATATTATTTGGAAATGTTCATTAAGTTAAAACATCAAAAGCAATGCTCGCAAAGTGCCATATATCAGCAATAAGTGCACGTGTGACTGGCACGCTCATTAACAGCTGTCACGCGATATGTTTCATTAATTAGCGCTGTGTTTGTAACTGCGGAGTGGACAACGAGAGTAATGCCTAAAGTATGGTGGTCGGGTTATGGTTTTGTCATTCACACAGAGATGTGTCTACCAGTGTTAACATTAGCTTCCTGTCAGAATCAGTGGGACCGAGATCCCATTGAATAATTTACGTGACATGAAACCGGGTGTTTGTTTTAAAAGTAAGGATGAGTTCCGTATTACTCGTATTTAGCTTTAAAGGCGCATCAATGAGTATAAAGCTGCGACCTCTACGTACCTTCATATGAAACTCATATTCTACTTTCAGAATTTTCCTAAATTTATCTAACAAAGTGCTGCCATTTGTTACGACCTGTTGGCCCCAGAGCGGTCATTTACAAAACGTAATGAGAACGCGTTGGTATATCTATAGCTGGGTTTAAGTATAACCTGACTTATGTAATTGGTAACCGACTAACAGGTCCTGCCCACAGGGCGTGTGAAATGAAGCCACAAATTGCTCACCACCAATTATTAATTATCCACCTTTTGGCTTAGCTCGGCTACCGGCCAAATGTCAGTCGGCTCAGTCGGCCAGTTCGTGGAAGAGTATTTAAAAGGTTCTTTCAAAATAAAAACAAAAGAGCCTGATATTTGAAACCTAATTTATATGAAGAATATTATTTTGTTCCCCGAATCGCATAACCGTGTAATTTAAAATCCTCGTGTGTTCATGATAATCATCATAAACTTTGCAATGGATTAGCGTCGGAATAACTAAAAACGGTGCAAAGATGGACGTATTTGCCAAGTTAGTGATCGTATCTTACAGCCGTAAAAGCGAAGCTAGGAGAATGATATCATTAGGACACAGTTTATTTATTCTCATGAATAGTTTACACATGAACTAATCCGAGTCATGATATTTTTCGGAGTTTTAGTCGATGAGCAGCTAAATAAACTTGAATCGACACTAAATTTTCTTGCGGCACATGTGTAAAACTCAGCAGAGGCACTAAGACGTAATAAAGCTGCCACATAAAACAAATAAGGAGCAAGAAGTTAAGTAAACAAATGGTGAGTTTTATTTATATTTGAAGCTCATCAAGACTAAATATACTGAGATTTGTTTGCTCCGTTCCAAACACTTATAACTTAACACCAGTTAATGGTATTGTATATTTTATGACCGTTTTATTTCTATTAAAGTATCTTATAAGTACTCACCTCACACATTTGCAACTGAAACAATCTCCTCTCCTTCTCCATCTCGTCTGCTATTTCCGCAGGTGTCACTTCACTTCGGATGAGACCAGCCTCCTTAGCCTGGGATTTCTTTTCCTTTTCAATTTTCAGGTACTTTGACTCATAGTCTTTGGATGCTTTGTCAAACGGTCTCTTCAGATCTCCTTCACTCCTCGGAGATCACCTTTTAGAAGACTATCGACGGGAAACATGACGATGTTATTTATATTTTGCATCTGAAACAAATAGACGAATTTTTATTTTTCATCATAAGCACATTACATTACATTTAAGATAACAAGCTAAAAGTTTTTTTGGTAACATAAAGGATGAATAGAATTTAAACAAAAGATGTCACAGAGCCATCTGAAACTGTGCACAGTTTATCACGTTGCACAACAGCTGCATTCCTAGTCATTTAGCTGCGATGTGTTGCCATAGTTGCTTCATAAGTGTAGTTTGACAGACAAAACGCTACACGAGGTTGCAAATGCATCGCCCGAATAGGCGCCAACCTAACGTCATGAACTGAATAATGATGCCAGATTGAGAAACCTTATGTACATTTGGATATATGAATAAGCATCAAAATTGGCAAACAATATCAAACACAAACCTTGACTCTATACAAATATAATTACAAGAAAACACACCAATATAATATTTTATGGTTACTATGCAATTACATCATAACAACTGCTTAGATAACTATTATTGTATTGTTACATGAGAAGTAAAACTAACGAGGCATGCTACTTCATTAAGAACGTCAGTGACAATAATGAGTTGAGCAGATAAAGTAATTAAACGGTTAAGAACAAAAAGTCAACACGCTATATTCCCGGAGGGTCGATTATGGAATCAATGAAGCGAATGCGTCTGTGACAGACGAGACTCGGGAGGGAATGGGGACAAAGGGTTGAAGTATACAATGAAACCCTTCCTGAACATTGTTGCTGGTCATTGAATGTTCCGCTAATTATAACGTCACAGGAAAACTGTGGACATGTTTACGTTTAATTTATTGCCAGAAGCGAGACATCGTAAATCTTACTATGTACCTAAACGGGTTAACGCTCCAAGTTCCAAAACGCCAACAGATAAATAACGTAAGACATGTCAGTAAATAATGTACACTACGTAACTCTGTTTGGGTAACAGTGAGGGAAAACTTGGGCATTCACTGTTCAGTTTTTTTCAATTTCAACAGGTTGATGATTAATCTTTACCCTTAAGGTAAATTTATTATTGCTCTACTCGGGGTAACTGTACTGAGTAAGGGAAAAATCGTTGGTAACCACATTATTACAGTATTTTAGTGTTATTACATTACAAGTTAAAACGACAAATATTTTTTTAGTCTTAAAACCCATTGTTTTCTCTGGTCACCATCAACAAGGCAACGACATCACGAACGATTTGAGGGAATTGACAACGAATTTTCAAACAAGTTTTTGCACGAAAAATTCACTTTCCTCAAGGTCAATCAATTCAGTTAATATAGTATAGTTTATAGTGCCGGGCAACTGCGGGTTGGAAGTGCAATCTGGCGCGATCTCGATAACAACTCGATACTCGGACACAATGTTATCCGCACGCGATACTCCCATCGCAGCACGTCACGACCATGCTCGATTAATCGCGAAACGCTTATCTGAACGCAGAATTGAATTACTGACGAGGTTTCGCTTTCCGCGTTCTGCGAAGTTGCACAAGTGTCACGGGGTCGAATTCTAAGGGCAGCGTGAGAAAGATCGCAGACCAAAATATCATGATGATCCGAAGACAATAAATATAACGATAGGACCCATTAAATAAATAATAATTAAACCTATAAACAAAAACAAATTACGTGAGCAATTAAGCATATTACAATATTTTATGGAAAAAGTCCTTGTTTTTGTTTTTGCATGACCAAACCCTGGTATTTTATGAAACTAGCAGCTTCCTAATCGCACATTAACAAACATATCAATTACATCACTCATGTAGCCAAACAGATATTATATTGGAGTTTCTGAAGGACGAACGAAAGAAAACATTACATGACCTACGCCACCATATTCAATCCGTATAACATAAAGAAGTGTAATATCATAAGTTTGTTGTGAACGTCAAAATTAATTAAAGTACAAAATGGTGCAAAGCGTAGTTTTTACTGTACTTGTTTATGTGGTGTAACAATGATCATTGTTTGAATTGAGAGCACGTGCGATCCGTACGCTTTACTGTATTGTATGGTAATGCAAAGTCACACGCTAAAACACCAGTAATGTTGTTACTCATACCACAAAATAATTGAATGCGTTTTTCCCCACGGTGAGGTAATCGGTAACTTTAACGATTAAATGCTATGGAACAGACAGTCATCTAAATCGAACATAGATAGATAAACAACTAAACAAGCCTTTTGTCTGCAGTGTTTGGTAAGAGTAAGAAGTGAACACAGACTTTTTTCACAATACAACAATCGAAATCTATGTGTACAATTGTACATTGCGTACCAATTAATAAACCAAGACACCATAATATGTCGACAAAGGGGCAAATGAATAATATATTTTTTTATGTAAAACAATTAGTTTATTGGTTTTCAAAATATATGTATTGAGCAACGACTCTGAATCGCGTACGGTAATTGAAAATTGAAACCAATACCTGCCTGCAAAGGCGATATTTTTATGAATGACAAGAATATTGGAACCTCATTTCAATATTGTTTGATTTCGATAAGCCTTGTCGATTCCGATAAATATTTATTTTATCTGCAGATATCAGATATTCAGAAATCATCATTTTCATCGGAGAAGTGATTTTTTACGGCAATCCTTTTGCAAAGCACTACTGTTTAGCATACAAATGGCTAAGTAAAATTAAGATTTTCAGAAAGACGTTTGTTTACACTGTAAATGTACGGTAAACTTTACAGTGCCTTCATGTATCTAAATGCCATCCTAAAAGTCTTCGTTAGAGATACCAACAGGTCAAAACTTAAAATAATAATATTTTTACGTTTTATGGATAAGGGATACGATAATTTGTAGGTTATTTACTCTTGTAGGTAGGTAAGGTAATTTTTACATAAAAAACCTCTACTTTCGACAGAACGATATTTAATTTACTGGTACCTACATGATTATTCATTGTGCGTCTTTTGATTCACATAAAATACAATCAACAAGCTAAAACAAAACAGGAATGCAGGTGCAATTTAACAAATATAAGATTAACAAAATTAATTTACTAGGTAACCGGTGAGAAAAGTTCGAACACTAATTTCATGAATATTTCGAATGAATTTAAACTAGCACGCGACACAGTTCCAACTTCTGTTGTTTGCATCTGATGTTGTTATGTTACCTATATGGAATCAAAATTAAATCAATACTTCACAACAATTCCAAGATTCATTTAGCACAATATTTTCACAAGTATCCGCTAAGATGTGCATTGTGTACATAAATAGAGCTACGGAACTGTAATATTTCTTGTAATTTCCATTTTCATGGAATTCTATTAACACTTACCAGTTTGTATAAAAACTATTTTTGTCAAATCAGGAACAAGATGATTTTAAATTAATTCCTGAAATCACATGAATAACATAACAAGGTATAAGGACTTACAGTCCATTGATTAAGGGTTCGTTAATAAATTAATTATTTATAGGACTCCGCACCGCTTTAGTTGATCAAATATTTAAAGGTGAAAACAACGAGTATTACATTAGAAATAAATTATTTTCAACGAAGCAAATGAACGATGTTTGTAATTAAAATAAAACGATGCTGTCGGTGAGTCGGTATGTGAATATTCTGAGCTGTGTCTAGAAAACCAACTACAATAAAACGAATGAATATTATTATCGTGTTCAGAATGCCTGAATTGCAAAATCTTTCAATTGTTTCTCGTGAACCAGGCCCCTGTAATGTAAACACTAAACACTATCACATCATTCGAATGGAATCCACATCAAGACGATATTTGTGTTAATGTTGGATCATAAACCACGAAAAATGTTCATAAAAGATATTGTAGAAGCAAGTATGCGAACAGACTAGATGAATAGCCCACCTAAGGCGACTTTAGTCATACACACACACAAGTCATACATTATTATGATTACTGTAACAGACACAATTCGGAGTGGTAAACGGAGCGAGAGCGGCAATCTCCTCATGCGAAACGCGACAAGTTGTCGAGTCATCGGTGAGTAATTCCAGACAAGTTTTACTTCGAAACGATGCAGTTTCATATAACCCATAAAAAGTATCACATAAAAACAAGCGCTTAAGAAAAAGATCCAGGTGTTCAGTGATTAGAAAATGGACAAGGCTTCATACGCATTGTTATCGTTTGAAGCCATAGAGGAATAATATGCGTGTGCAGGCATAAATAAATGGTGACAACTTGTTATCCTATTGTCCACGTAGACTAAACTATGTTACATAAAGTTTTTCAAAGTCATCGTCTCATGATGATGGTTATGAACATAATCATCTCTAACTATACCAAAAAAAATTCAATATAACTTGGAACCAATGAATAAAGTCGATTACAAACTGCTTTCAATTCTAATTTAAACTCAAACGCTTCGGAAGCATTTGAGAAAAGCTATCTTAATTCAAACTGAAATACCAATATTTTACAGATTTCTTTCGGATAGCTTTAAATGATAGCATCATAAAACGAATCTAGTTATTACTTTAGATGCTATTTCCAACATTTTATATATTTTCACAAGAAAATATAACTTTACACATGATCAGGGAGTTATGAGGAAGGACAAAGGAGCAACATGTCAAGGGCAGGTCGAGGATTCTGCGCAATGGAGTTGGGTGTTCGGCACGTATAACAAGAATTGCAGAATTGGAGCGAGGTTGGACCCTGGTTTAACGGTAAATTTGAAAATTGTACATCCGGGCTTATATTTATTAAAGAAAACTTTACTAAACGTTATGAGACGCACCTAAATTGATTTATGCGATGTCTTCTATGTACGTAATGTAAACGTCTATTGGTATTTTTCTATGAAAATTAAATCAGTTTGCTAGTAATTACTGCGCCCTATTTACGTTTGTAGCTAGTAGAACGAATGTAAATAAGCTTATTAGTAAAGTGTAATTATAACCACGAAGTAAACGTTTCACAAAACAGGATTTGGTTTACGAATTTAACAATGCAACATCAACCGAATTTACCGACTGGCAACATTAGCCAGGTCGAGTCATCACCCTGACCCATTTACAAGCAAATCTGCGGTGCGCCTACGCACCGGTATCTGCGTCAACCGACAGTTATCGCATGTTACAATGGACATTTAAATATTTAACTGTATCACCTTCCAAGAAGGACGATTCCTCAAATTGATAACAAGGAGATCCAATTACAATACTTGAGGAAGTCTATGTATTATGTAACGATATAGTGTTATGTTTTGAAGTCAATTTATGCTTCGAATAACGGAACTTCTGCTGGGTATTCAAATAAATATAAACATTTACGAAGGTACAAATACAATAGACATTGTATGGTCCAGACCAGATTACAATACTATTAATATACTAATGGGGTGTGGACATAACATCAATTATGACAGTAGGATAGATGAATGTCATCCTGATAATAAATTGAATACAATGCTCCATTACCAAGACGATAACAAAGACGGGAGCGTTCAATAATTTCTATCAGCACTGTGGCGACGCATGCCACATGACGTCACAAGAATCCTACATCGCACATGCAAAGTTTACAAGCGAATAAACACGGATAGAAAATCCCAACGAACAACTGTTGGGCAGAAAGCCCGCCAGGCACGATCACCTCGCCTGGTCGGAGGATCCTCCTTTTCCGATCTTAGGGAACTATACTCTCTGTTCCCTAAAGTGGTGACCCCGACGTGATCGGAAACAACCTTCACTTCACGGAGCAGATTAGCACCGTCATCCGTATCGCCATCCCTCTCATTCATCACTTCTCCGCTGAGCGGTAATCAAGTCGCAGCCAACCAGCATCCTCGGCCTCATCAGGGACCACCATCACCTGCAACGAAGTTGTGCAGCCTGGTTCTTCCCTACGGCCTCACCAGCGTCTAGGCACAGCACTTCTGCACACGGTCTGAAGGACACCTCCTCCCGTCAACGCAGATGCCGGCCACTACGCACCTACCCTCGCAGCATCTCTTCCCCGACCCACCGTGGGACACTGCGAACGCACCTCTCCGACTCACTGGAGTTTCACCCTGCACCGCTGACCCGACTCACTGGGCACTCAGCGGCACGGTTCCGACCCACTGGAACTAGGGACGTTCTACACTGGCTCTGGCACCGCTCATCTCAAGCATCGACAGCAGTCTCAGCGGGATCGACCTCCGGTCTTGGGAGGGAGTGATGTGGCGACGCATGCCACATGACGTCACAAGAATCCTACATCGCACATGCAAAGTTTACAAGCGAATAAACACGGATAGAAAATCCCAACGAACAACTGTTGGGCAGAAAGCCCGCCAGGCACGATCACCTCGCCTGGTCGGAGGATCCTCCTTTTCCGATCTTAGGGAACTATACTCTCTGTTCCCTAAAAGCACAGTAGTATGCGTGATGCAGGCATTCCAATAGTTTAATGCATTTAAACCTATCAAACCGAAAATATAAAATTATCTGTACATAACAATTAAAACATCAATCCCGGGCTACCGGTAACGGTAAATAAAGCAAAAGAAATATTAATCTGGAAGTTGGAATTGATTCAGGGAATCGTCATCGAGAAGCAATAAATCAGTAATGAAACTGTCGCCAATTTTCAATTAATTTCGAGTTGTGACGTATAAATGAGCCTATTCCGTCTGCGGACTTATATTCGAGTCTCGCTCCCTCTTCATAACGAGATGTTTGCGAGACATCCGCCGCAGGCTCCCTCAATACTATAATTTCCGCTCGCTGTTCTGACGGATTCTGATTACATTGAGATCGAGGCTTGATGAACGACTTAATATTCTTGTATAAATTCGCACTTTGTCAACCACAGAAAGTTGGTGATGAGTTGAACACTTTATCGTAATCGTAAATATCAGGCAAAACAAAATCGCTGTAACAACTACTTAATCTACAATTCTACATAACAGGAATCTTACTATCGAAAGGGAAATTTAGTTTTCACATATATTTCATCCTTAATAGCACCAAGTTAATAGAAAATACTCGCTAGTATTTTCTTTACACGAAAGTCATGGAATTTTATGATATACGTGCGACAGTTAAACTTTCTACCATTACCACAAGTTCAATGTTCCAAATCACGTGTTCACTTAGGCTACAGAGATTGATTTTAAAAGATTGTGGTTAGTTTTCTTACATCTTGATAACCTGTCTATGGAAGTACGCAGTAAAGTGATATTAAAAGTGAAAGCTTAGACATAGTCATCATCACTTTCACCATTAAGGATATGAGGTCTACTAATATTATTTCATTCATTTATATTCAAAAATATGATTTTACGGTATTCAAATTATATGTAAAACATTTTAGCTGGTAAATATGTTATGGCGGTCGATGACCGTATTAGCTACCGTTTCGTGCAAACATAGCTAACATACAAACTGGGACACTGTTATGATGTGAACTGGAAATTGTTTTTACTTTAAAATCATATTTGTTTAATGACTTCGACCGAATACGGAAAATCTATTGTACGTACTAGAATATCTATTTGTGATAGTTTCATTGTTTCACGAAAGTGTTTACAATTTATTGATCGTGCACCAGTATGACATAACATTTTTTCTTCAAATAAGTAATTAGATACAATTGTCTAATATATCTCCAGTTGAATGACTTCTATGAAACCAAACTGCATGTTGAATGCAATGAAGCAAATAGTAGATAGGTAATTAGAGAACGAACTAATTTCTTTTGCGTAAACTACTACATATGCAGAATTTTTTCTTATGCTGGTTAATCGTTTCAAAAGAAAGTTAGTCTACTAAATCTGCATATAGATTAACTTTTAAATAAATGTGTGTAACTGTTTTGAAAAAAAAATCTCATCTGAACTAGATTTAGTATCAACAACGAAAAATAAAATCCTCTCTACGATAGGTCAATATCACATATTCACAAGTTTCATTTCGCATATTTACAAACAGAACTTCTTTCAAAGGGTGCGAGACAATTGACATTGAAACGATTATACCATCAAAACAAACGAATCATAATAAAAATAATCAGGGAAGAATTACGTAAGATTTTAAAACTTACCAATGTCTTCATGAGTGCAGACAGTTCTTTGGTGACAACAGCGAATTTGAAGAATGCAGCTCCGATATCTGGCTCTGAATCTTTGCTGAGAGCGTTTCCTCCGAGACGCTCCAGCGCCCGGGAGAGATACATCTCATTGTCCACGTGAGCTACAAGAAAAAAAAAGCAGTTAGAATGTAATTAAGCACGTAATTAAAATGATATTAATAAATGACCCAATAACATAATTTACTGAGTAAATGAACTGAAAGGAACACTCAATAGTTTATTAAACGGATAAAAATTCAAGTAATTAAATTAATTAACAGTACGCCAACAATTTTCCTTCAATAAAAATTCTGTTTCACCGTTTCTATGTTGTTCGACAAAGACCCGTCGTATCTTCTCTAGCCGCGGAGATTTAATTAGTTACCCAGTCGGATTTACCCGGATGCTATAAAGAGAAGCGCTTGTAAAAGTTAGCTGCGCTTAACTGCAGCTTATTTTTATTCGCCAATCTCGTAAGTAGGTACTTCGTACAGTGGTACTAGTTAATTCACTAAAGCTATTTCTAATTTCCAACTGAAATCGAAATTTTACAAGAGGTATTATTTAGACATAACAGTAACGTAATAGCAAGAATGCCCAGTACCGATATGTTGTATGAATATTGATGACAGAACAGTTAACTGTTACCGCCTGAAATTCGAGGTCGTTTTAAATCAGTGATCATGGGTCCAGTTTAAAATAAACACTAAATAAAGACATGGAACTGATGAGCCTCAGAGATCCGTGTCGCGGCCCACATTTACCTAGCTCAATCCCGCCGACGCTTTTTGAATATTAAATGGTGTAGCAAGCAGACCTCACGCCATTCAATTTCTCCGCGAAGCTCTTCTTTAACCTTCCACTTAATATGAGGTTTACATAGCCTCGAGCGGGGTTTCCGTCAAACCAGTCGCCTAAATTGCCAATAACAAGGGATTTTCAACATAAAACGAAAGTGATCGCGTGACTTGTAAAACATAATTGAAGTAGGTGAATGCGTGAACCAAACGAAACTGAAAAAGCAAACGGTTGCAAAGATATATACCTTATGTATACACAGTATGTATTGATAAAATCTTGCCGTTAGCAGTGTGAAAAGTAAGCTACAAAATGCTGACCAAAACATTAACGCCGGTGAATAGTTGGACACATTCCAAGAACACGTCCTTCGGCATCCATTAAGGTTTTACAAAAGTGCTTACATGTTTGATTCTGTGAATTTTAAATTAAAGGTGAAATATAGAATTGATAGAAGACAAATTAAACGATAATCACTCTTTCAATTTCTGAGAAATAAACATTGAGACCCAATCTTCCCAAAACCTAAACACTGCCTCATTGTGTAGGAATGTTGGTGTTTTTGATTGGTTGTTTTTGCGAGCGCGTGCTCGCAGAGCGCACGACCTTGTCAGCTGCGCCAGCGCACAATCCGAACTCGCACGACCAGTTCCGAGCGTTTGGCTTCATGCGGGCTACAGCACGGTGCTAAACTCGACCACAATAAACAAACCCTAGCACGCGATGGAATTGCACTCAACAAACCTGACTTATTACAACTTAGAATAAAACCAAAACGCTATTTATGAAACGCGGCAGCGAACGGCGGCAGCTTGCAAAGAACTTACAGCAGTCGAGCCCTTAAGTGCATTTAATCTCATTCAGGTTATTTAAACAGATGCGCTCTTAGTAGTTGTGTAATGTGGTAGTTTATCATTTCAAGTTTGGGCAACCTACAAGTTTGAATGAGGTGTAAAGGTTTATCAAATCAAATTTGACTAAAACATTGTAAGTACGTAAAGACGAATGAAATATGAATAACGTGCTTAATTGAGGAAAAGTTAGCGCACACTAATATACTCACATGATGTGTTGTACGTAATCAAGATTCACAATGCAGTTACTAACAACAGGAAATTGTGGCAGGTGTCGGGTGCTCCCCTATGATATATCAAGTCCGAAACAAATAATCTAATATTTCCAGTTATAACGTGGTCAGCGAAACCAGACGTTCGACCTACTTTCCTTGACAAGTCGCACATGAAGGGAAATTCATTCGTGACCGGCCACCGCTTCTCGATTCGGTTTATATTTCAATCTCTATTTGTTCAAATGCAGAAATCGAGTCCAAAATTGTTTTCTATATTTAAGTCGGCTTTAAAAACGGCGGTTACAGAATGGATTTCTGGTATAAATTCTTGGTACGAATGGACTCCTCAGTAATTGTGTGGACACCCAAGAAACTTCTCAAATCGTTAAAGAAACTTCGTAAGATTGTAAAATAACAGTGATAACTATCAAAAATCATAAAAAGTAAAAAAATATGAAAAAGACTTTTAATCTTTTGAAAATGAATGGTTCTGTACTTTTTCAGTTCATACGGTGAGGGTTTTAATGCTGGTTCTATCCTCTTACAGTTGTTTGCTTAGGTTCATTTCATTTCAGAAATCATGAATTGCTGTAGTCATTAAAATCTGCGCAAGTACCATTTTGTGGCGACTGCACAATTTTTATAGCTTTCATAATATATTAAAGACGCGCTCTTTAAATTTTCATTTTTATTCTGAGGAAGTAAATGCGTCAGAATAGGAAGAAGACTTATTAAATGCTCGCGTAGATAATAAATCAGTCTTAAATTATATAACAAGTGAATGGAAGTGTTTACAAATAATGCATTAATGTCTGTCTGCAAGCACTATTTGTTGCGATATTTGGGTCATTCTAGTTCAGCGGGTTGAACGGCCTTTCGTCCTAGCAAGCCGGTTTTGTGCTCAGTCTAAGCTATGCATTGGAGTTTTCTATACAAATGAATATTGAACAGCCCTTTACATAGACATTTATTTTTAAGGGACCATATAATTAACTCGTATCCTATGATCTTTAATGCACATTAGCTGCCGAATATGTTTATTTACTATAGTTTCCTTTGGAAGTATAAGTAACGAAATGGATTTTATTTTTAAAGTTACCAAACATGCATCGAATATCTCGTCTATTCCAGTCTGCTATTCATACCGTATACTTCCTCTATTTCTATTTTTAATCGAGTCTCGTTCCGTGTCGCCTGTAAAACGTGCCACTACAGATGGGAATACAAATAAACTCTTCGGAAAGTATATTGTCCGGTTACCGTCTGTTCCGCACTAAAAGAGAGCATTATTATCTTTCGTTCTACCGTAATAAAACGTGAAGGAACATTTAATCTGCTCTTATAGCTAGGAACTTTTAAATTCTTATCACTTTAGCAAACTAATAGTTAACTGCAGTGCATCAAATTGATTTTGGAAACAAATGTCCTTCTTTATATTATACACTCACCATTTCCAGAATTGTGTATTGCTTTTATCGCCTTTTTCAACTTCGTTAGGCCATCTCGGTCGAAATCCAACGTCTGAAACAAGATAAAGAAAAATAAATTATCACGGTCGTCCATTCGGCAGCCCAATATTTTTATGCAGAGAATATAGTCCGTTACGATTGCAACAGTGGATTCGCTCAAAACTTTTTTACGGGGACAAGCTGTCGGCGGCATAAAGACTCGTTTACAATAGGAGCCACGAGCCATTCAACTCTGTTTGGGAGCACAGCGAACATCTGTCGCCCCAGCCGGCGATTAATCAATGGTCCCCCTGAATTAAGCAATCGGCTCATACCAAAATAAAACGCGCAACGATTCAGTGCACCTTTACTTCGATTCGACTCAAGTGTTCATTTGCAGTCGACTTGATTAACGTTGATACAGTATGAAAATAAAATAGTTACCTAATTTGGAGTCAATGACCTTTAAGTAATAGTTATTATTACGAAAGCAATTCTCTTATAACAATTGCCACTTCTATATGATAAATGGATGGATGAATGGATACTTGTAATTTATAAACAATACTTAAGGTGTTTATAATTAGTCACGGTAGGAAACATTACACATGTTATCGGGTCAGTTGTTTAAATTAGATCATAACACCTGGCTACTGGGCAAGGGGAAATCGAGGCGAGTGATACTACGATATTGCAACGTCATGCAACGGTTTTGGTGAACGGAATAGCTTACTTTATCTTTGTTTTTAATATGCATTCACATGGGACAGAAAATGATTTAGTATTCAGTTACAAATCTAAAATAAAGTAGCGTCTTAAGAGAAAAGCCCTAGCTGTCATCATGCCGCTAGCGATAACGAAAGTTCTTCCGTTATCTTATTTTTACAGCACAGTTTAACTGGTTCGATTGAGTTTCGCAGACGATTGCACAGCTTTACAATATGACGTCCACTTAAACGTCCATAACAATACGTAACTTACATAATCCGCATTTGTCCAAACATCAGATGATAAGTATGAGATAACAGAACAATGAGAATATTCGCTTTCTTGCTCGTGACCAACGACGCATGAAAAGTTGCGTAAACCACGTCATCAGAGGCACAAAACAAACGTAAATCATGTAATCACTATTACTATAATAACAAATAATAATAGCCCTAAAATGCATCGTCACAATTATAATACTTATAGCAATTTCCATTCGGATTACATAACGACGACGATCTCTTTCTTTTCTACAGTCTTGCATAGTAACAATGGTTGGAACCTGCATTTTAATACGCGTAAGATAAAATCTAAAAGCCTGCAGGCTTGCTTTAACATATCACGACATCTATTTTTAAACCTCGTGCCTTTAACCTTCTGCACACACCTGCTAGTACTTAAGTAACCTCCTTCCTTCACTTTAACTGACTAACTAATTTGATCAGAGCGGTTTGCTAAAGAAAGCCTTCTTTATTAGGATAAGAATCCTGTAATACAAGTATTCCAAGGGTAGCAATCCGTAAAAGCCACCCATTGAAGGAAACTAAACGACCTTTTATAACATAATCCGCCTTACACATAATTGCGTCGAGTCTATTTAAATAGGGACAAGAGAGATAATCCTATTAACTATTTTACTAAAACGGTTAGTGTACACGAACAATGTAACCGTCGGAGCTAGTCAAGGTACGTTTATAGTTATTCACAAACAACAGACAACGCCTCCTTTGTTCTGTCTTCTAACAGATCGAACTATCACCTCTACACGGCTCTACGCTTTATGCTCCGCAGAGGATTTCTCTAAATGGGTCACGTCGCTTTACAGTCAGTCTTGCTTATACGAGTACATACGAGTATTATGTATCATATAATATAGTTTATCTCTTATGACGCTAGTTATACCTATCAATAAGGTAAGATTTTGGGCATCAATACCTATTATTTAATTTCGTTTTCATTGTATGCCTCTATGTTTAAATTTTGTTTGTGATTAACAGTAACACAAGTGTGACATTCCCAAAATTAAGTACGTAATAAACAGCTGTTTAAAATAGGTCGTGTAATTAAAACGTCATTCAGTCGCATCTGTACAGTTTACGGTAAAAGCAGAACAGTAATTGCTATAGCATTGTGCGTAGGTTTTCAGCAAAATGATGGTAGAGTGATTCATCTGTGTTATTACTTAATTTAAGTGTTATGTTACTTGTAAAGTTGTAACCACTATAGTATGCGTCATACACGGACGTCTCTTTATTATTATTTTTGTATTGAATACTGACTGTAGGTAACTTATACTCAGAAGCGTTTATTCTTATAAGTATTTACCTTCCCTAATGTGTGTGAATTTGCAATATTATTGGACTTGCTTACATATAAGGTAGGCGAGCGTGAAATTTGACAGAACTTGTTTTTGTTAGGATACTTAGTTGCAGAAAAGTTGCCCCCAGTCAATGGAACCCACGTCTCGTCTCCAACAGCGAAAGCGGTTAACCTTGTGTATTTATCCACAAGCTGGTAACGCCGATCGAAGGTTCTTCCAAGTTAGGCAAACGTTTAGAAAGTACCTACTTAATACAATATTTTGCATTGACTAGACATAAAGAAGAGGAAAAGCATTTATTTACCACTAATTTCTGTCTAGGTATTAACTCGTCGAGTACCGGTTTTATAGACACAATTAAAGAACAATAGGTCGCGGTCACCGGTGACCGCTTGGTGTTTGACAGATTAATAATGTCTCGTTCGAACTTTAGAAGCTGTATAGTTACACTGTAAAATGCTCCAATTTTTCTCGACAAAATTAACTATAAAATGTCAGAAATATGTAATCTGTATTCTATTAGCTACGAAAATTTATTTTCTCGTTTATTTTTATCCAAAACATTGATAGGAATAGGAAGTCGAAAACACTTTACCGATCGTAGAAACAACACCCAATTATTAGGTTCCTGTTTACTGTATCGGATAACCAAAACATGAACAGTGATCTTTAAGCATGTGCGTTTATCCAGAAGGTTGTTTGTAAACACATCGTGTTTCAAATTAACACATTAACATGTTGGGTGCCTCTTACGCTCCATTAGGTCACACCTCATGGATGAACCCATTTACTTTGTTTGAACTTCCAATGCCTGGAAACCTAAAGGCCTAAAATTTCAGACACGCCTAACCACGAGTTAAATTAAGAACAATATTATGTTTATTGCTTAAGTTGTTCGGATACACAGCAATGTCGCTGCCAAGCAGCAGGTGTAAGTTCAACGTTGGCACGGGTACAACTTTTATCTTCTACATTTATTGCAAAGGAACTGCGACACGGAAAGTATTGTCGAGGCAAATTATGTAGGACCATTGAGCTCTACTGAATCTAGCAAGTTTTGTTGTAGATATAAAAACAGTATTAAACGAACCTGTTCTTCAGTAGGTCACAAAATCGCAAGCGCAAACACATCTCGCTTCCCATTACTTTTTTATAAGTATTACGTTGCATTGCGGTCGGTTACTCATTCTTGACTGTGACTTTCATACTAATTAATTATCTAACCAGTTATACACTCAGTAGTATTATACTATTAAAACATAATAAAGATTGTTGCGTAGTGTTGACCTCAGATATCGAGTCATTATTACATTGCTTTAACGATTTAAATTCAGTAACTTGGTGTCAAATTACTTACCTACATCTCGAAAATATTACTATGGTTGACTCCTTTGTTGAACAGACATCAGTTGTTATTAAACCTTATCTATTCAAAACATTTAACTATTTTACGTGAAGTGTTCATACTTCACGTAAAATAGTTTACATATAAATACCTATATTGTTATTACAGCAATCGATCATAAACAAATTTTGTGTGTAATAGTACACCCACACTGATTTAAAGAGAAAGTTCATTACAAAATGTACCTACTACGAGCACGAGCACGAGTAAGCACAAGCAGGTACTTTCGCTTTATCACATCTGATCAAGGAACACCACATGTTATTTACTGTTCGATAGGCACGCGTATATTTCCTTTTTAGTTCGAATGACTGACTTCACACTCACCTTTACAAATCATTATATTTACCTACTTACTAAAATAACGTCATAAGTGGTCTAGAAATAAGAGAAAAGTCATATAATAATTCAGATAAATGTATTGATAAGGTTACGCGAGACAAAAATAGGTTTGTTGAGAAAATTGCTCTCCGCAGACTACACATACACGTTACCATCTTCAATAGTCAAGTCATAAAGGAAATGAGAAAGCAGAGTTGATGACACACTTACTATCGCAGTCTATGTTCAATGTATATGTACAAGAATTTTTAAGGTGAAAATATAAATGTGCTTTGCACAATTCTTTCCGATTTCCCAGAAGAAAGAGACGAATAATGCACGGAGAAGTTTTATCATCTTCACAGCTTTTGTCTTTAAAACAGTTCCATTCGAACAAAGACACCTTTAAAAGATGTTAATTCCTTTTATGTTTTAAACAATAACGTACTGCAATTGGTTTCTCCTAATTTGTTTTGCTTCATGTATTTCTTAAACATTTATAATGTAATTCCATGTCCCAGTCCGTCGGTCCTTGTAGAGAATTTTATTATCGCTTTCTGTTGTTTGGTGGGTGTCTACAGCGTATTCGTATTGTATTTTACATTAAATAGGTACTTATTGTGACTAGCTTGAGGTAAACGACCGTCCTCTTCGGTGTTCTATAATCACAGTTGGCTGGTTTTGCTGCATATTTATTACATCTGTTTTACTAGTTTTGATTCTGCCTTCTCTGAAGTCATTCTTCGTTGAACACATCGTGGGCTGGTTTACTTTGGTGAATACAATTTATTATAACCTGACATACCTAAATGATCACGTTTCAATTCCGACGCTTGTTAAGCAGAACATTTGATATTCAAAAAGTATCTCTATTTCAAAATATGAAATCAGTTTTTTCAGACTCCCCTGACAGGTCTTGAGTAGCTTGATAGCATAATATATACATCTGTGTGCATGCTTATCCATAACTCATGTGGAAGGGATAAAAGCACCTTTTGATAGAAACTTTTAAAGTATAGAAACCTGCCGTGCTCAAGTG